TGAATCGTGAGCAAGGAAGGTACGTGGGACTCACTTTGTGCATAAGATGTGATTAATTTTAGTATGTACGTAACTATGTGGACTGTTTTATTTGAAATTAGTGAATGTTCTAATTTAATTTCATGGACTGTTTCGGTTAAATTTTAATGGACTGTTTTAATGTAATTTAAAAACATATTTTTTGTGAGTTTAAATTAAGTGCATTAAACATAATTAGTGGGTTATCTTGTGTACAAATAATGGGCTGTTTTATGTTATCAAACTAGATTTTTTTTTAGAGTGTTGGAAAAATAAGAAGGTTGGTTTGTATTAAATGAGTAGGCTGATTTAAGTTCACTTCATGACCTAGTTTATGTTAATTCCAATAGGCTGTTTATGGTCACTTTAAAACAGCTTTTGTGTTAGTTTAGTTCAGCATATGAAATGTGATTAGGGGCTGTTACGAATAGATAGTAAACTAGGTGTGAGAATAATGGGAAAATGCATATGGAGATGCTTGGAATGCTTTGAGTAGGCTAAGGTGAAATGAAAATTATGAGAATGAAATGAGTGGTTTAAAGGGCCAATTAGGGGCTATTTTGCATTGATTAAATGTGTATGTGAATTTAAGTGTAACATTTTTAAATAAAAAATGTGATAGAAGTGGGAAACGGGTGTCGGTAACGCCGAAACTCTAATTTCTAAATGTTATTATCACATGTGCGAATTTTAAGCCAAATGACCTGAAATTTTGCATGCAACATTTTTAAATAATGTTTGATGTGATAATGTGACTTTTGAATGCAAATGAGTATAATATCCAGTGCAAAACGTATGAAATGTCGGAAGTGCAGTTTTTGAAATTCGGGGTCAAAATGTGTGGAAATGGACCCCCGGTCAATGTGTTTGACCTACTTAATCCTAATTGTGATTAATGTGAGTGATTTTGAGAATTTGGAGAGGTAATGTGATCCCTAGAACAAAAGTGCTAATGTGTGAATGGATAGTGCGGTAATCGGGATTACCGGGGCACTTTGGGGTACATCATTTTGCATGTATTAGTGCATGATTGACTATTACATGTGATAAACATATTGATATTGTAATTACAAATATGTTAGGTGAAACGAGTGAGATAGTTAGTGTTGAAATAGATACGGTAACACCGGAAGGATCCACCGATAGGATCGAAGGGTCATTGATCTACATATCTGAGGTGAGTGTATATCTTTATATGTTTTAAAAATGGTATTATAATATGATAGTAAATGATAGAATTTAATAGCATTTCTCCAGGATTATATGCTACGTGTTTATGTGATTGGATGGTGTTTTGTATTGTGTATTGTGTATTGTGGAATGTCGCGCATTGTTTCAGACATGGGTAACGATGCCTGGTTACTGGGCGTGCAGTGATGTGCTAGCACTGTGGTGTTCCCGGGAGATTCGAGAGACACGGATCCATGTGGGATCGATTACCTAATGAGGGGTAGTGTGGATGTGATGTGACTTGTGAATTCTTTGGAATTGAATTGATGTTGTTGTTTGATACGTATATCTACTGCAGTGTATTACTATCATTTTCATTCCATATATTGCATGTATACTCACTGAGCGCATGATTTACCTTACACCCCTACAGTTTCTTCTTTTAGGTATTATAGAGGAGAATGCAGACCGGTCCACTGTCCAGTTAATTGAGTCTTGTGTAACTTTAGTGTGATATCACTCAGATTAAGTATCGGTATGATTAACTGTTGGGCTGTATATTATATTTATGAGAGATATTTATGGCATGTTAATAGTATATATTTGTAAATAGACTCAACAAACATACTTTGTGATGTGTGCTATGTGGGTGTGTGATTTTGTATATGTCTATAACCTGCGAAATAAATGATTGGTACAGGTATTTATATATAGTATAGGTTATCAGAGAGATTTTACCATTATGCTTAATAACTAAGGTGATGAGTGTTGTTATTGCACTTGTGGGATTATATCATGTTTGATTAGTCTAACTTATAATAATTGTTCACAGGTGTATGTAAAACCTAGTCGCTTCTCATCCTTGGGAGACTGGGATGAGGCGTGACAAGTGCACTCAAAAAACTTATTTGGGGATAAGTCTATTTTGATCTCTATTGTCCAAAATACCCTCGATATTTGTATATAGTCAAAACTTGTTTGAAAAAACTAACAACTCTTAAATTGAGAATTATATTAGTATTAACAACTTATATCTTGAAAATTGTGTTAAATATTAAATAGTAACACGTTCAATAAAAAAATTGTAATATCAAACAATAACACTCTTACTTACAAAAAAAATAGTAACATCAAATAGTAACACACTCAACAAAAAAATTGTAACATCAAACATTAACATGCTAAACAAAAAAATAGTATTATTAAACAGTAACATGCTTAATAAAAATTAAATCATTGTAATAGAGTGACACCTCCACAACAGAATAAATACTCACATTTGGTGTCACTCTATTGCAATGATTAAATTTTTAATTAAGATTTTTACTGAATATGTTATTGTTTGATGTTACTATTTTTTTGTTAGTGTGTTACTGTTTAATTTTGCTATTTTTTTGTTAAGCGTGTTACTGTTCGATGTTACTATTTTTGTGTTGAATGTGATACTGTTTAATATATATATATATATATATTTGAAAACATTGAAACTAACAGTGATAAATAATATTTATGTTAGGGATAATTATGAAATACATTTCAAAAAGAATTTGAAATGTTTTAAAATTTGTACTTATTGACAACTATTTGATAAAAAAGAGGACTTAATGGAGGATAAGTTTGGAGATGATACTTAAAACCAAATATGTTCTGAAAAAAATACCCACATCCCATTATCTCTTAAAAATTCTAACTCAAACCTTTTTTTTTTGAGTTGAATTTGGTTTAACCCACCCAAGTTGAACCCCTAACTTAAAATAGCCAATTTTTCACAAATGAGGGTGTTGTACTGAGCTTGAGGGTAATCCTCTCATTATAGACCAAATTTTTAAATCTTGAGAAAATTTCAATTACACATTTTTTAGTTTATTATATCTTCAAAGACATTCTCCCTATTATAAAAAAAATCAGTGAGACCCTTCTAGTTTATGTTTAAACATTACTTATGTCCCCTGCCATTTAATCAGCATTTATAACAAAAATAAATTATCTTAAATACCAAAATTACCTTTACATAAACCACAAACAATCTTTCTACATAAATTTAGATTAAAATTCGAGCCAATTAAGAATTATTTTTCTACATATTAAAATTCGAGCTGATTAAATTTGAGTTGATTAAAATTCGATTCGAGCTAATTAATTTTTTTTTTTAACGTATTAAAATTTGAGCCAATTAAAAGTCTTTTTTTCTGTATTAAAATTTGAGCTCTATTTGAAATGTTAGTCCCGATTAAAATTTATTTTGAATTAATTAAAATAAATATTTTTTTATTTATTAAAATTCAATTTAAGTTGATTAAAATTTATTTTTTACGTATTAAAATTTGAGTCAGTTAAAACTTATATTTTTTATGTATCAAAAATCGAGCAGATTAAAATTTAATACGAGTTGATTAAAATTTGATAATTTTAATTTGTTCAAATTTTAATAACTAAAAAAATATAATTTTTAATCGACTCAAATTTTAATACATAAAGAATAAATTTTAATTAGTTCAAATTGACTTTTAATAAGTTCAAATTTTAATACGTAAAAAAATTTAAAAAATAGAGGGGGTCTCATTAAAGATATGTCTATCTAGAGGAGGTGTGGATGAAATTTTTCTTAAAATATGATGGACAATTTAGTAAAATTGTAGGTGTCAATGAAGATTTACAAAATAAAAATGGTGTCTTTGAAAATATGATAAACTAAAATGAGTGTGACTGATATTTTTCCTTAAATCTTTTACTGGAAAATACACTTAATCAACACGAGGATGCAAAGGATTACATCGACCACAGTGTACCAAAAGAGCCTAATCACCTAATAACATTAGAGCATCCTCAAATAAAACACGCTAAATCTTTAAATTTTAGTTATTTAGTCCAAAAATTCTATTCTAACATATTATCTTCAAAACATTTAAAATAAAATTTTATTATAGTGATATTCTATATTTAGAGTATCATTGTAGCGATATATAAATTTTTTTTATAATATTTTCTCTTTCTTCCTCTCATTTCTTCCATTCTCTCACTTTCGCTATTCTCAAAAAAAAAAAATAATACAAAAGGAGTGAGAGATAATATTTAAAATGAGTAGTTAAAAATATAGAAAATCTGTTGGAGTGTGTATTGAAAAAATAAGTAGCTAAAATAAAAAATGTTGCTTTGAGTAGCTAAAATAATTTATGTTGTTGCATATGCTCCTACCTATAATATTTTGTTGATGAGCCATTGATTTAGGAATTTAAGTCACTTTGCTTCTTAGTTACATCTCTGTATCTGCTTCATACAGAGATGAGATTGATGAATTTGAACTCAGATTCTAAGCCCAAAGTGGAAGAAAGTGGAGAAGAAGAAATTCAAGATTAAGAAGAGTTGGCACAATGAGATTAGACTAAATCGAGATTAAAAAGTCATAGACTTGAATTTTAAGTTTTCATAACTAAATACCTGCATTTTACACTCAAAGAAGTCATTTACTTATGATATAATAGCATGTAGTTCCATTTCGGAACAAAATATTCAACAAAGGATAAGAAAATGTCAACATTCCTTTGCTGATAGCAATAAATCTGATCTCCCTTCACCAAGTAGCCAAGAAACGACGAAGCAAGCAATACTCTTACAAAAAAGGCCGGCCACCAATAGAATATAAATAAAGAGAGATGACCTTCATGGCTGAGTGAACTGGTCTATGTCAATTGAGCTATCAAAACATACACCATCTTATTTCCTTCGCCCAAGAGTTGCAGATGTTTCCTTGACTTGTTAAACCTTCTTCTGCTTTGGTAGGTTCACAGTTTCTGCAAAAACTTCATAAGGAGATGGCCATAGCTATTTTTGATTCTATATTGATACTGTTGACATGGGTTCAGAGGGCTCGTTTGAATCATGACCTGAGGTATCAGACCCTATGTGTACACAAGGAGCTAGAACGCTTGAGGATCTTCGTGAAGGAACTAGTTGAGAAATACTATGAGCATTATGGAGTAGAAAATCTAGTCACAAAGATTGGTGATTTGAAACACAAGGCATGTGAAATCATCATATCACCTAGAACACTGGCCAACGACTATGATTCTTGGAAGCTCCTAGAAGATCTTAAAGCACTAAAGACAGAGGTGTGGGAGATTTGTTGTAAGATATATAGCGTTGGAGTCCAACAAGTACACGAATCCAGTGTATGTTCATCAAGAGCAGATAATCTAGTGGTAGAGGAAGAAAATGTGGTGACCTTGCAATTTGGAAAATCTTTCAATATTGGGAGTTCAGCGAGAACAGTTCCCTTCCTATTAGAGGAAGCAACAGTGGTGGGACTTGATAAGGAGGCGTTGCGGATTGTGGATCAGCTTACTGAAGGACAACAACAGTTAGAAGTGTTCTCAATTTTTGGTATGCCTGGAAATGGTAAGACAACTCTGGCTAAAAAAGTGTACAATGATCTTTCCATTACACACCACTTCAATGTTTTAGCATTTATCTATGTTTCTAAACCAGGTCCACAAAGGGATTTTAGCATTTTAAATCATACTCTCCTGATCACAGATCAAATTTGTAAAATAAGCCATGAAGAGCTAGGTGAAGTGCTTTACAAATTCTTAAAAGACCAGAGATATTTTCTTGTCATTGATAATGTATGGGATATTTGTATTTGGAACTATTTGGAGAGATCTTTTCCCGATGACAACACTTGAAGTAAGATTATGCTCACTACTATGGACAGGGTGGTCGCTGCTTCATGTATTCAACTTCATAGCCCTCCCCAGTGTTGGCGTGAGTTGTATATTAACGGGAAATTGGAGCAATCATAGAAAGTGGGATGGAAAGAAATTATTTCCTTCACACGTTACCATAATTATAGGAGTAAAATCTGTATAGCTTAGAATAGAAAATATATTCTTGTAAGTAACAATTGTACAAACAAAAGATTATGAAATTCTACACAAGGAACATTTGACATGGTATCAGAGCATAATCCTAGTACCAATAAATCCTACTCCTAGCTTTCCTTACCTTGCCCATCATGTCGTCAGACTCCGATACAGAGCACCAACCTGGTGCATCTCAGTTCGAATCCATTTTTTCCACATTCACAGAAAAAAATGACTAAAGCTCTTACCAAAGTCCAAACACCAACCTTGACCACCGAACCTTCCGCTGCTCCGATTGGCATCAAGTTGGATGGAACCAACTATGCCCTATGGTCCCAAATTGTTGAGATGTATATCTCTGGCAAAGACAATTGGGATATACCACAACCACAACCACCTCCAACGGATCTTTGGCGCACAGACAACGCCAGAGATCCATCCTTTCGATATACCACAACCACCTCCAACAGATCCATCCTTTCGAAAATGGCGCACAGACAACGCCATTGTCTAAGGTTGGTTGATTAACTCCATGGATCCCTCCTTAATAGGGAATTTCATTCAGTTTCCTACAGCTAAGTTGGTGTGGGACTTCATTGCTACCACTTACTTCGACAGGAGTGACACATCTCAAGTCTATGATCTTCGACGTCGTGTGACACAACTTAAACGAGCTGGAAGCTCCCTTGAAAAATACTACAATGACCTTCAAGGGTTATGGCGTGAGATTGACTTCCGGCGCCCTAATCCAATGGAGTGTGCAGTGGACATTCAAAAGTATAATATTATCCTTCAAGAAGATCGGGTGTATGTTTTCTTGGATGGCCTGGACGACCGATTAGATAAGATTTGGGGCAATGTGCTGCAACTTCGCCCGTTCCCTACCGTGGAGCAAGCCTTTGCCCACGTCCACCGTGAAACAATTCGTTAGGCTGTTATGTTCACTGGAAATGCAGATGCGGTTCCTGGAGCTGTTTTTGTCACCAAAGGACTCAGACTTGATTCCTTTGACCAACCTCCTACCGTGCACAATGGGAAACATAAATCTTGTACATCTTCAGAGGGCCTGAAGTGCTTCCATTGTGGCAATAAGAAATATACTCGTGAGAACTGCTTTAAATTGCATGGGTACCTTGAATGGTGGAATGATCTCTAGGCTAAGAAACGTCGTGACACAGGTGATAAAGACGTGGGTTCTGGTAAAGCAACTGTGGCTACTGTTGAGCCTCAACTCTTCTTCACGCCACATATGGCATTGGTTCCGGACTCAGGTAATTGTGGTCGTGCTTGCTATTCTTCAAATAATGATGATACCCGTGGTGCATGGCTACTAGACTCCGGCGCCATTGACCATATGACATTTACTGCTACAAATTTCACATAGACCACCCTACCAAGACGTACCAATATCGCCAAGGCTAATAGCATTCTCTCCCCGGTCATTGGCGCGGGCACTCTGACATTATCCCCTACTTTACAGCTGCATAATACTTTACTTGTTCCATCCGTATCTCATAAACTTATCTCCGTGAGCCAAGTGACATCTGATCTTAATTGTATTGCCATAATGTAAGCTACTTTTTGTCTTCTTCAGGACATTCTAACCAAGGAGATCATTGGGCATGGTACTAAGAGAGGCGGACTCTATTTTATAGAAGACTTTAGTGTGGGCCGAGCGCATCATATGCAACATTCTCTTGATGTCAAAGAAAAGGAGATCTGGCTTTGGCATCGTCGATTAGGACATCCGTCCTTCATCTATATGAAATATTTGTTCCCAGATTTGTTTTCTCAATTGAAACATTTTAAGTACTGGGAGTGTTTAAATCATTTCATGTTATGGTGAAAACACAATTTTCTGCTAAGATTCAGGTACTTCGATTGGATAATGGTGGTGAATATGTAAAACACCAATTTTGTGAGTATTTTCAACAACATGGCCTTATTCATAAGACTTCATGCCCTAAAACTCCTCAGCAAAACGGAATTGCTGGGCAAAAAAACAGACATGTTCTTGAAACTGCTCGAGCTCTCTTAATTGGCGCCCATGCTCCTAGTCGTTTTTGGGCTGATGTTGTTACCACTGCGATTCATTTGCTCAACTGAATGCCCTCTAAGGTGTTGGACTTCAAAACCCCATTACAAGCACTCTCGGCATATACTCCTATGCCTTCATTGTTGATGCTTCCACCTCGTGTGTTTGGGTGCGTAGCATATGTCCATCTCCATAAGGACCAGCGGACTAAGCTCGATCCTTGTGCTCGTATGTGCTTATTTCTGGGATATGCTTTCATCAAAAAGGCTATAGATGCTACGACCCCATTTCTAGTCGCACCTATATTACTATGGATGTCACCTTCATGGAGACCGAAACTTTTTTTCCACCCATTTCTCCTCTTCAGGGGGAGACTAGACATGAAGAGTTGGATTGGATGGAATTAAGCTTATCTGAAACACATGTGGAACCGAAGCAAGTAGAACTGGAACTGAGGCAAGCAGAACATGTCTCTTTGGCTACTGAACAACAAGTAGAATGTGTCTCTTTGGCTCATGAACACCATGAAAATGATCACGAAGCAGCAGTTTCTTCCCCCTCTGTGGTACCCGAAGACCCAACTCCTGAGAATGATCCTGAGGTAAGCTCCTTTAACACAAATATCATGGCATCTCCTGTTGGTTATGTGTTACCTGACAGGCACAATTGTGGCAAGCCTCCAAGCCGTTACTCATTAGACATTGAGAAAAGAAGATCAAGATACCCTATTGCCAATTATGTGTCCACAAAGGAGCTGACTGCACCTCTCAAGACATTTGTGCATAGCATTTCAGTGTGTCAGGTCCCAACAAGGGTGGAGGAAGCCTTGAAAGACCCGAAGTGGACTCAGGCAATCAAAGATGAAATGGAGGCACTATTGAAGAACAAGACATGGAACCTAGTGCCATTACCAGAAGGAAAAAAAATAGTGGGGTGCAAGTGGGTGTTTTCCATTAAACACAAAGCTGACGAATCTTTAGAAAGGTACAAGGCAAGACTCGTGGCAAAAGGGTATACTCAAACATATGGTATAGACTATCAAGAAACTTTCTCACCGGTAGCTAAATTAAATACTGTTAGAGTGTTGTTATCTCTTGCAGCAAACTTAGATTGGCCATTACATCAGTTGGATGTGAAAAATGCCTTTCTCCATGGTAAACTTGAAGAAGAAGTTTATATGGACATTCCGATAGGCTACTTAGTGATCACGGGAACAAATGAGGTGTGCAAGTTGCAACGAGCCTTGTATGGATTAAAACAATCGTTGCAGGCATGGTTTGGGCGATTTAGCTTGGCAATGAAGAAGTATGGTTTCCAACAAAGCAATGCAGACCATACTTTATTTCTCATAAAACAGCAAGGTAAAGTAACAACTCTAATTGTCTATATCGACGATATGATCATTACAGGAGATGATATCGAAGAAATATCACAGATCCAAGGGAAGTTGGCTAGTGAATTCGAAATGAAGAATTTACGTGGACTCAAGTATTTCCTTGGGATAGAGGTTGCCAGATCAATCCAAGGCATCTTTTTGTCCCAAAGAAAATACGTCATAGATTTATTATCTGAAGTTGGACTGTTGGAGTGCAAACCAGTGGATACCCCAATTGTCCAAAATCACAAGCTTGGGATATATCTGAACCAAAACCCAACTGACAAGGAAATATACCAATAGCTAGTTGGCAAGTTGATTTATCTCTCTCATACTCGTCCAGACAATGCACATGCTATGAGTGTAATGAGTCAATTTATGTCCAAGTGAGGAACACATGGAAGCAGTAATTCGGATACTAAATTACTTGAAGTCTTCTCCAGGAAAAGGGCTCATGTTTTCTAAGAATGATCATGTGGAAATTGATGGCTATACAGATGCAGATTGGGCTGGGAACATCTCTGATAGGAAGTCGACATCAGGATACTTCACATTTGTAGGTGGAAACCTTGTGACATGGAGAAGTAAGAAACAAAAGGTGGTGGCACTCTCTAGTGCAAAGGCTGAATTTCGTGGGATGGCCAAGGGATTGTGTGAGCTTCTTTGGCTGAAAAGATTACTAGCCGAAATTGGTTTTGCTCCCAAGTCTGAAATGAATCTCTTCTGTGACAATAAAGTTGCCATAGACATTTCACATAATCCGGTTTAGCAAGATCGAACGAAGCATGTAGAGGTAGATCGGCACTTCATCAAACATAACCTAGAGACTAATACAATTCGGTTCCCATTTGTCAAGTCTGAAGACCAGCTCGCATATATACTTACCAAAGCTGTGTCAAGCAAAGATTTCCACAACTCACTAATCAAGTTGCGTATGAAGGATCTGTGTGCATCAACTTGAGGGGGAGTGTTGGCATGAGTTGTATATTAACGAAAAATTGGAGCAATCATAGGAAGTGGGATGGAAAGAAATTATTTCCTTCACACATTAGCATAATTATAGGAGTAAAATATGTATAGCTTAGAATAGAAAATATATTCTTATATATTCTTGTAACCAACAATT